TCGCAATAATGAGTCAGACACTAACTGACCCACTAAGATTACCTCAGGGTCAATGACATGATGGGTTTATTAACCGTACCATGATGGCTGGAGTTTATGGCTTAGGAGTTTTGCTGTGTCAGCCTGCCCATGATGATTAATCGTAAATAACGTTATACATTCATTCACTATACACTATAAATGTCACTGTTAAACTTGTAAATCACACGTCGAATATTACTTACACATATATAAATTTCACTGTTAATATATTTTGAAAGCTTACACTTTATATATAAGTTCCTTTATATACAGGTAGATCTGATAAGAAACAACTTTAACACAATCTTGTCTTTAATTTCTGTCTATAAACATTATAAACACTATGTGTATATATACACTCATGACATAACAAACATCACTTGGGGTGTTTGTCTTAATCCCAGCAATATTCGCCAGTTTGGAGCAGTTGATGGAGGGGTGCAGGATACCATCCCCGTCTTCTTGTTGGGTGAGGGTCACCCAGCTACCGTTTTCGTTGGCGTGAACGCTGGGTGAGCGCCCCCGTTTTCTTTTTGGCTGCCCATTCTCTGTGATTGAGTCTGGAAGGACTCATTATTACTGATTTATATTGTAAAACACTAGTTTTACAGTTTTTCGAAAAAGGACCTTGGCTCTAGGTTATTTGTACACTGTAGTCAACCATATTTGGACCACAGTGTGGGATCTTTATCCGGTCTCGTGCACGACAAAACTCTTATGTGAATTTTTGGCCTTACCTGCCGTGTTTATTATAACTATATATAATGAAACACTTAGCTGATAAAATGACAGCAAATCGTCTACACAGACGCCCTGCAGACGATGGTCTAGAAGCTGTCGAAAACCATCACAACGTGGGCTGTCAAGAGATACAATTGTTAGTATAAATTACCCCTAGGGGGTGTTATGTCAGCATATTTTATTCGATGAGGCTGACGAAATACTTACTTGTTGGACTCAAAGTCCACACCCTTACTGCCGATTATAGGTTGATTACAAACTCCTTGTGATTCAGAATTGCGCCAATCCCCGATCTACAAGTAATTCGTAACATTACCTGCTCTTTGTAACGTGAGCTATGTTGTTCTCACACCTTCGACAGATATCGGTGACTTGAATAGAAGCTGAAGTGTCCTTGGATGTCCAGTCTACCATTGTCTAGGAAAACGCACACTGGTACACTATGTTCACAAGATTTGTCTTTATTGTTTCCCAATGTATCACAAGAGAAGCTGTCACACTTCTCCTATGTTTATCGTGTTTTGTTGAGAACTTTGTACACTAACGCACAGATCAGTGTTTCTTTGTTTGTTATCCTGGCGTCAGTGTCACTCGTTAGTAGAGTCAAAGATAGCTGCCAGACGCTTACAGCGCTCCATGCCGTCACTGCCCCCAGGCACAAAAAAAAACGCTGGACCTAGTACCTTGCATCCCTGTCACCTCCTCGATGAAGCAAAGCAAAATGTTGTTTCTTGCTGTCTTAATCATAGACAACAATGTACACTAGTTTTACTATGGTAATAAAGTGGGAGCAGGATTTTCCTTAATTGTCCTGCTAAGTAAGAGATGTACTGTCTCTTATAAAAATACACGTTGCAACACCGCTGCAAGGAGCAGAGGTCATTTGACTACGTGGCATAGCATCTGTGATCAATTACTCACTCTAGCAGTAAACAAGACGCTCGCCCCTTCTGAGTGGCCCCTCAGGGCTGAAAGGGCTGAAGGGGGCTGAAGGGGGCTGATACCCCCCTCCTGGAGAAAATTTCTCCACAATTTTTAAATGTTTATGCGGTAGTGTACTGTATACTGAAATAAACAGAATAGAATAAATCAGCTCTAATATACATTATTTAGGTATGAATAATGGTCAGAGAGCCCACTGTAAGTCTGAGGCGTCGGTAAACTAGTACGTCGCTAAGCGAGGAGAGGCTGTAATGTATGCAGGAGAAAGAGTTACTAGCACCTTGCTCCCGGCATTTTAGTAGCCTCTTACAACATGCATGGCTTAAGGAGGAAGAATTCTGTTCCACTTTCCATGGAGACCTGCGTATTTATCAATTTTATAAAAAGGGCAAAACTAAGAATTTACAAACTGATAAAAGAACACTGAAAAACTGTAGATTAAAAAAATTGGAATAATACTGTATGAAGATTTTGCATTAGGGTGTCTTTAATTAAACATTAATATACGTACAATGGTTAATTTATTACTTTCCATGTGTTACAATATTTCATGTAAACAACAATTTGTAGATGGATGGTTCAGAGAACCGACATGTTGATAAATTAGACACATGTGCAACTCTTGGGTATCTTTACTGAGGAAACGTTTCGCCACACAGTGGCTTCATCAGTCCATATGTAGGAGAAACTTGAAGAACAGGAGGAGAATGAGGTAATCAGTCCCTCAACCTTGAGTCGATGTGTTCAGTCCATCAATCTTGAGTAGAATAAGGCATATGAGTGGAGAAGCAGCTTATAAACCGTATGGCAGGAGAGGTGTATCAGTCATAGGTGGTGTTACATATGTTCAATGTGGAAGTAGGTCGTGCCCAAGAATTAGGCAAGCGAAGAATTCCTAAGTATTAAGATCCCAAGAAGTTGCAGTGTCTGACAGGTTTGTAGATGGATGGTTCAGAGAACCGACATATTGATAAATTAGACACATGTGCAACTCTTGGGTATCTTTATTGAGGAAACGTTTCGCCACACAGTGGCTTCATCAGTCCATACGTAGGAGAAACTTGAAGAACAGGAGGAGAATGAGGTAATCAGTCCCTCAACCTTGAGTCGATGTGTTCAGTCCATCAATCTTGAGTAGAATAAGGCATATGAGCGGAGAAGCAGCTTATAAACCGTATGGCAAGAGAGGTGTAGCAGTCATAGGTGGTGTTACATTTGTGATGAATGGTTTGAAAAACCGTCAAGTTGAAGATTGAGACACTTATGCAGCATATGGGAATCTTTATTCAGGAAACGTTTCGCCACACAGTGGCTTCATCAGTCCAATACAAAGAGGAAGGCGTAAGGAGAGGAGGAGTATGAGGTAATCAGTCCCTCAGCCTGGAGTCGATGTGTTCAGTCCATCAATCTTGTAGAATGTACAGCATAGGGCCGTAGACGTGGCTTATATACTGTAGTGAGGTGAGATGAAGCAGGCAGAGGAGGGGTCATAGTGGTACCATCCACTAGTCAAAGTAGGTCTTGGTCCAAAGGTTGAACAAGTGTTGAAGAATTCTTTGTAACAAGATCCCATGATGCTGCAGTGTCTGACAGTTGTGATGAATGGTTTGAAAAACCGACAAGTTGAAGATTGAGACACTTATGCAGCATATGGGAATCTTTATTCAGGAAACGTTTCGCCACACAGTGGCTTCATCAGTCCAATACAAAGAGGAAGGCCCTATGCTGTACATTCTACAAGATTGATGGACTGAACACATCGACTCCAGGCTGAGGGACTGATTTCCTCATACTCCTCCTCTCCTTACGCCTTCCTCTTTGTATTGGACTGATGAAGCCACTGTGTGGCGAAACGTTTCCTGAATAAAGATTCCCATATGCTGCATAAGTGTCTCAATCTTCAACTTGTCGGTTTTTCAAACCATTCATCACAACTGTCAGACACTGCAGCATCATGAGATCTTGTTACAAAGAATTCTTCAACACTTGTTCAACCTTTGGACGAAGACCTACTTCGACTAGTGGATGGTACCACTATGACCCCGCCTCCGCCTGCTTCATCTCACCTCACTACAGTATATAAGCCACGTCTATGGCCCTATGCTGTACATTCTACAAGATTGATGGAATGATCACATCGACTCCAGGCTGAGGGACTGATTACCTCATACTCCTCCTCTCCTTACGCCTTCCTCTTTGTATTGGACTGATGAAGCCACTGTGTGGCGAAACGTTTCCTGAATAAAGATTCCCATATGCTGCATAAGTGTCTCAATCTTCAACTTGTCGGTTTTTCAAACCATTCATCAAAAACGGGTCAGACACTGCAGCATCATGGGATCTTGTTACAAAGAATTCTTCAACACTTGTTCAACCTTTGGACCAAGACCTACTTTGACTAGTGGATGGTACCACTATGACCCCTCCTCTGCCTGCTTCATCTCACCTCACTACAGTATATAAGCCACGTCTACGGCCCTATGCTGTACATTCTACAAGATTGATGGACTGAACACATCGACTCCAGGCTGAGGGACTGATTACCTCATACTCCTCCTTTCCTTACGCCTTCCTCTTTGTATTGGACTGATGAAGCCACTGTGTGGCGAAACGTTTCCTGAATAAAGATTCCCATATGCTGCATAAGTGTCTCAATCTTCAACTTGTCGGTTTTTCAAGCCATTCATCACATACCCAAGAGTTGCACATGTGTCCAATTTATCAACATGTCGGTTCTCTGAACCATCCATCTACAAACCTGTCAGACACTGCAACTTCTTGGGATCTTAATACTTAGGAATTCTTCGCTTGCCTAATTCTTGGGCACGACCTACTTCCACATTGAACAAATGTAACACCACCTATGACTGCTACACCTCTCCTGCCATTCAGTTTATAAGCTGCTTCTCCGCTCATATGCCTTATTCTACTCAAGATTGATGGACTGAACACATCGACTCAAGGTTGAGGGACTGATTACCTCATTTTCCTCCTGTTCTTCAAATTTCTCCTACGTATGAACTGATGAAGCCACTGTGTGGCGAAATGTTTCCTCAATAAAGATACCCAAGAGTTGCACATGTGTCTAATTTATCAAACAACAATTTGTACTTCACAAGGACTTGTAATCTAATGACAAATCTCAATTTTTTTTTTCTCATGGGGAAGAACTGTACAGGAAATGAACATGAAGAATTCATATTGAAAAGTTGTTCAAGGATGCTTGAGCTTTATTCATGTGTTTTTGGCCAAAATATAACTGATTTAGGCCATGAAGAAGAAGAGAGGGTAAATTGTTCATTTTAATAAGGCACTACCACAATTATATTTTTTTTCTCAAAATTTAAAGATTCACTCCTTTTTCTTTCTTTTTCCCTTTTTTGATGGTATCACCTCTTGACTGGGCATCCGTTTTCGAGCTGACCGCCTAGTTTTACGTTTTGGAACTTCAAAATCCACATCCTCATACTCCTGAAAGACAATATATCCAAGTTTGTAATATAAACTGGAGAAATTTACTATTAAGTTTATGAGCGTGCACTTAACTCCATAAGAAACATACAGCAATTGGAGAAATGGAAGACAGTGTCAACCCACGGAAAGGGAAGACTGGTCCAGGTGATAATGATTCCTTATTATCATCTGGACAGACAAAACAGTTAACTTATTTACTTAGCATATGTAAAATATCCCATTATAAGTAGCATTTTTGAAGAGCGCAAAGATACATAGGCTATAAAAGAAAGAGGAGACTAAACTCCCACAAGCAATCATACAGGGATTTCTGTTTGCTTTGACAAGACTGGAATGTCCATCAAGCAAATACAAACACTGAGAGAAATCTTAACTTGAAAAGGAATTTTAAACACTGTACATTAAGGCATTGGGATCTTTATGCCATTAATCTTAAGCTTTGCAAATCAATGATGGGTATGATAATGTAAACATTACAGAGTACTGGACTGTATTTTATTCTGCCAACACAACCATCATCATCTCAAGATTCCCCAACAAAATCCACAGAAGAGCCATAATCTTCCACCTAGGTCATGTAACCTCACATCCCCAACTCACTGCAGCACATTTATCTTCTGGAAGTCTGGGTATATAATGTCTTCAATGACTGGTTTTCAGGAGTGTATAAGCCAAGTCATACAAAGGTTTACTGTACTGTACTAGATGCTATTGATTCTGTAGGTAGAAATGTTAATATCATCATCCACAGGATTCCTGTTTCCACTCTTATGGGGTGAGGGACTTGGTCAGAGGGTATGGAAGGATTGGTAAGAAATTAAGATTAAAGATAATACAGGTGTTCCTCGACTTACCATGGGATTACATTCTGATGAACCCATAATAAGTCAAAAATATCATAAGCTGAATACAAATATAAGTTAAATAATTACTGTCACTGAATAAGTAAATAGACAAATAATTACTGTAACTAAAGACCAGTACTGGAAAGTAAATAAATGAATACGAGTTACAAACTTGCTCCCTTCATGGTCCTCAGACAAATAGAGAAACTAAAACCTAACAAATCCCCAGGCCCTGATGAACTGTTTGCAAGGGTGTTAAAGGAATGTAAAGAGGAACTTAGCATACCTTTGGCTAATCTTTTTAACATATCACTACAAACTGGCATAGTGCGTGATAAGTGGAAATTGGCGAATGTAATACCTATTTACAAGGCAGATGACAGGTCCTTGGCTTCGAACTATAGACCAATAAGCATTACCTCCATAATGGGAAAATTTATGGAATCAATAATTGCCAAAGCAATTCGTAGCCATCTTGGCAGGCACAGATTGATTAATGAATCTCAACACGGTCTTACGAATTTACTAACTTTTTTCCCTAAGGTGTTTGAGGAGGTAGATCATGGTAATGAATATGATATTGTGTATATGGACTTCAGTAAGGTTCTCGATAGAGTTCCACACTGGAGGCTATTGAGGAAACTTAAGGCACACGGAATAGGAGGAGAAATTTTTTTCTAGGTAGAGGCATGGCTGACAAATAGACAGCAGAGAGTTTGCATAAATGGGGAGAAATCAGAATGGGGGCGCGTCACAAGCGGTGTTCCTCAGGGGTCAGCGTTGGGCCCGTTGTTGTTTACAATTTACATAAACGACATAGATGAGGGAATAAATAGCGACATAAGCAAATTTGCTGATGACACCAAAATAGGCCTTCCAATTCATTCTAATGAGGACACTAGAGCACTCCAGGATGATTTGAATAGACTGATGCAATGGTCGGAGAAGTGGCAGATGCAGTTTAATATTGACAAATGCAAAGTTCTAAATGTTGGACAGCTAAATAACCATGCCACATATAAACTAAATAATGTAGATCTTAATACTACTGATTGTGAAAAGGATTTAGGAGTTCTGGTTAGCAGTAATCTAAAACCAAGACAACAGTGCATTAGTGTTTGCAATAAAGCTAACAGAATTCTTGGCTTCATATCTAGAAGTATAAATAATAGAAGTCTTCAGGTTGTTCTTCAACTCTATATATCCTTGGTTAGGCCTCATTTAGACTATGCTGCTCAGTTCTGGTCACCGTATTACAGAATGGATATAAATGCTCTGGAAAACGTACAAAAGAGGATGACAAAGATGATCCCATGTATCAGAAATCTTCCCTATGAGGATAGACTGAGGGCCCTGAATCTGTACTCTCTCGAAAGGTGTAGAATTAGGGGGGATATGATCGAGGTGAATAAATGGAAAACAGGAATAAATAAAGGGGATGTAAATAGCATGCTTAAAATTTCCAGCCAAGACAGGACTCGCAGCAATGGTTTCAAGTTGGAAAAATTCAGATTCAGGAAGGATATAGGAAAGCACTGGTTTGGTAATAGAGTTGTGGATGAGTGGAACAAACTCCCGAGTGCAGTTGTTCAAGCTAAAACGTTGTGTAGTTTTAAAAATAGGTTAGATAAATACATGAGTGGGTGTGGATTGGTGTGAGTTGGACCTGACTAGCTTGTGCTGCTGGGTCTGGTGCAGTGCTCCATCCTTGAGTGGAGATGACCAGACTGGGTGGGTCACTGGGCTAATCTAGGGGGAGGGTCATTGGTCTAATTGGGGGGGGACATGGACCTGCTCTGCATGGGTCAGTAGGCCTGTTGCAGTGTTCCTTCTTTCTTATGTTCTTATGTTCATGCTGGGTAATTATCTCAAGTTTCGTCTCCGAACTAATTGCTTGTGCACCGCCATAAAGTCAAAATATCCTAATCTGAGGAGCACCAGTAGTGCATTAATACAATGGCAGTCTCCATAATATTATATCTTTTACTTCTTTTTTTCAACAAACCGGTCGTTTCCCACCGAGGCATTGTGCCCCCCCAAAAAAAAAAAAAAGTTTCTCTTTTTAATTTTAGTAATGTGTAAAGGAGAATGGGTTAATAAAATTATATAATATTGCAAATTATGTAATCCTAGGTTACATTAATACAATGTACACCAGGAGACAATCATACCAAGGCTTGTGATAATTTTGAGGGAACATATTCTGGATCCCCTTGAGAGTCTGCACTTAGCAGCTGAGTGACAACAATGAGGTCAGACTGATCAGGACAAGAAGTGGCTTTCTTGCTTCCAGTAGAATGTCTCCCAACCACAGGGCTCGGTGCTGTTTCACCTCGCTCCTCTACATCTTTCTCATGACAGGGTTCAGGTTGATGTGAAGGTATCGTCTCTTCATCATTATCCTCATTCAGTCTACCTAAAATTAAATAGTATGTATTATTTGCAAAACCATTTTCCAAACTGTCCATTTAATATAGTTGGGTAAATTTTCCCACTGCATGAGGCTAAAAATAAAAATTTAAAGTAATTCTGGTGTCAGTGTATGTTTGTCAGATTGTTTTCATACAATTAAGTAAAAAGATTCAAAGAAATGTGAATGATAACTTATAAAGTTTATTATTAATAGTCATATGGGGAACATCTTCTCTTAGATATATAAGAGACTGGACTATTATTTTTTTTTGTTTTGTTTTATGCCTAAATGTACAAGAGTTATGAAGATTCAGTTTTAAAAAAATGAGATACAAATTCAAAGCTTTCACTCAGGACAGATCACACTTTTAACCCTTTCAGGGTCGAGAGGCCCTCTCTTAAACTTGTTTTCAGGGTCGAAAATTTTTCGGAAAAAAAAAATTCTTATTAAAAGATAAGATAATCTTTTCCCGATCACAATGACACCAAAAGTATGAAATTTGTTGGAAAACTTACGGAATTATGCTCTCGCGAAGTTAGCAGTCTCGACGATGTTTACACATTGGCGATTTCGACCACTTTGAGCACTATTTTTAGCCAATTGCAGTGTACTAGTCGACAAAAATCATTACATCGCTAGAACTTCATTTTTTCTATCGAATGAGTGCAAGAAACCACCCATTTACCGATTTAAACTATCCAATAAAGTGGTCAGAAATTAGCAATTTTGCCAATTTCACACAAATTTCAAAAGATGCCAATTTCCAAATATGGTCCAGAATAAACAAGACAGACATTCCCAGCACTAAAATAACATTTCCTCTGTTCATTAGTCACGTCCCCATGCCCCTCTTACATTTCTTTTGCTTTCCACTTTGAATTTTTATTCTCACAAAAAATAGAAGATTTATTGTTATGCAGGCTACTGCATTAGTGTAGAAATGGTATAAATAATATCAACGCACTTGTGGAAGAATATTAGACTCTCCAGTTGACGTGTATTGGACGCATAGCATGATTTATTTACTTTTGAACTTTGGCACAACTAGAACATTTCTGCTACTTTGAGCTCAATTTCAAGGTACTTTTCATTGTGAAATCAATCAAAATCATCTCAATTTCTGCAATATGCCTTCTATTCTATAAAATGAAACCAGGAAAACTAGAATAGAACCATAAATACCATACGAAAATAAGTGCAAAGTCGCTGTTTTAAACCAAAAACACGGTCAAAGTTTTTTTTTCTCATTATGCACTGTGTGCTGCAGGATTTTTTTATACTGTGCACACTGACCACATAGACCCATTCTTTTATATGTAGGCCTACCAGCTTTCTCTCGCTAGATTTGAAGGTACTAGAATTTAGGCTTACTATTACTGGTGCATAAGCCATACTAGTACTTCTGAAACCCTGAAAGGATTAATTGGATAGGAGTGAGTACACAACGGGCAAAGTGAGGGAATAACTGATAGCCAGTCCACGGAGGGGAGCTGTTGAACCCGAGAGGGTAGGTCGTGGAGAGAGAGCGAGTGGGCCCAGCGTCCTACTGACCTGGGCATGCCTAGAGAGGGCAGCACATACATGCTCACATGCAATCATATACAACAGGCCTAGTGTCTAATCGACATGTGCCTAGGACAAAATGGTAACTAACAGACAGATGGAGATAGACAACCAATCAGCCAGCCACCCAACCAGTCAGCAGGCCAGCCAGCCTACCTGCCAGCCAGACATGTATTACATGTTCCAGAATTGTTTTTTACTTAGGGCATAGGTTATAGGACATTCTGGCAGGATGACACTACCAGTGGCACCAAAATTGAAAGGATGGTGCACAAATGTTGCACATGGGTTATTATCGAGGTTTTTGATATTTCCACGACCACTTGTGGCCACATCCACCTCAAAGCCCCTCTTAAAAGGGGAGTGTTAATACAACATGACATCAGTGAATCCTTGGTGTTTGCCGTGTTGTTGGCTCTATCTGGCATTCAGTTGAAATGGTGCTCCCACAAGGTACTAAGTGGTCCCAGATTTTTTTTAATATTGCACACACTGAGTGTTAAGACTCATTCTATGCTGTCCAGGCATCTTAGGCCAATCATGCCAAATTTAGAGGCAGGAAAAATAAAACGTAGATCTACGTTTGGAGCTCTCATGGTAAGAACATAGATCTACATTTGGACAGTTAAGGGGCTAACAAATATGTTCATCTTTATCAGAATCTTATGTATTACATTATAATTTTTAGTTATATTCATAACTGTAATTATTAGTTTGACTTAGAAGCTTTCAAATGTACAGTATGTGTATCGTTAAGGTTGCAGTTAGCTTCTACACTAAATTTAAAAATCTTTAAATCCCCAAATCAGGAATTGGGTAAACCAAGTGTATATAGGTTGTTATACCATTTTAATGTTCAAGTGTATATACATTGTGACATACACATCTTGATTTTATATACAGATATGCACCTCTCAGTATATATACACACACACCCAGTTCTTTGTCTACAGATACACATCTCAGTGTGTTTATCTGTGTTTAATAGAACATTAAGATTTTTTTTCCTTGTTGAATTTGTAGCCCAGGAGCTCTTATCCTGTCTCAGCTCATTTCAAAGCCTAGTCCTATGCACACTATGGGCTAGGAACTCATACCTTGTCTCAGCTCATTTAAAAGCCTAGTCATGGCATGGACCAGGAGCTCTTATATTGTGTCAGCTCATAATTCTTTGTAATAACAAAGTTATAATCAAGGCTTATAATATTCCATTCGCCATTGTAATGCACCTTGGACTCGCTGCTTCTCCTAGTAACATTAGGGGCTGTAATGTTTATATTTTTTAGATGTGTTACATAACACGGTGTTACATAGTTACAGTATTGTGCCTCTTTTTGTTATTTATGTGTTACAAGAACTACCTTTAAAGAATTACCTACTAATATGTTCCTGGGCTCCTTTATATGATCACTACTTCATTTGTTCACCACAAATTATTTTAGTCCCTTTTATATTGTCTCCTTTATTTTAGCTTTAAAGAACTACCTTAGTTCATATATTTACATTTGTTAAAATAATTCAGGTGCTATTTTGTAGCTTTAGAATATTTACTTTGTCTTATACTTAATTCTAATTATAGATTCACTATAAATCTTATGATTACAAGCATTGATCCTGATACCAACCTCTTACTGAATGACTTAAATGAATCAAACAGTAACTATAATTACTACACAGCAGAACAATCAAAGGCACTTCTCAGAGCCAACAACAACATAACTGTCTTGAACTACAGTATCGGATCTTTAAGCAAGCATTATGATGACCTCATAGCATTACTAAATTCCCTGCATACCAGTATGTCCATCATTACTCTCACCGAAACCTGGCTAAAGCCTGAAACTACAGATGTTTATGCCATTCCTGGTTACACAGCCATACACAACTGTAGGCCAGATCAATAAGGGGTGGCACAGCTATATACTACTCAGACCAACTAGAATGTATCACTAATACTTGCACAATGGTTGAACATGGGGAATATATAATAGCTAAATTCAAATCCAAATACCTTCAAAAACCTCTCACAGTGATAAACATCTACAGTGTACCACAGTCAAACATTAGCCATTTTAGTGAAAACCTAGGAAGTATGATAACTGATGCACACATGAATAAATATCACTTACTACTCTCAGGTGACTTCAATATAAATCTCCTGTAAGACCAGGACCCACATGTTACTGAATTCACAAACACTATGAGTAACTGCTTGTTGCTACCAACAGTAACAAAACCTACAAGAATTACAGAGACTAGTGTTTCCATACTAGACCACATCTGGACCAACACCATATCCCCTTTAAAATCAGGCATAATCACAGATAATACCAAAGACCACTACCCTACCTTCCTCATAACTAATCTAGGCAAATTACCCCAAGACACTACTAAAGTCACTTTCAGACTTCACAATGAGGCAGCCATTAATAACTTCACAACAGCAATGACAAACATTGACTGGCACACTGAGCTAGAAATCTATACAGATATTGACGAATGTATTAATAATTTTCTAAAAAAGACTCAATACCTCTATAACAACCGTTACCCTAAAAAAAACTAAACAGATGACAGCTAAGAGACTGAACAGTCCCTGGCTAACACCCAGCATCCTCAAATCCATAAATACAAAGCACCTATACGAAAAACGATACAGAATGGGTCATATAACCAGAGACCAAACAAAACGTTACTCGTCAATCCTAACCAGCCTGATAAGAAGGGCTAAAAAATTGTATTATGAGAACAGATTATCCAACTTAAAAGGTGATATAAAAAAGACCTGGAAAATCCTATCAGACATTCTAGGAACAAAAAAGATATCACGAAATAGCGCAATTGCACTAACAAAACCAGATGAACCCCAACTCCCACCAACTGAAACAGCAAACAGACTCAATGATTTCTTCTCCACCATAGGAAAAAACCTTGCCAATAAAATCCCAAGCTCAAATACCCCACTCAATGACTACCTCATTGGCAACTACCCAAACACACTGTTCCTAGCTCCGACTAACCCAACAGAAGTCTCCCTTATTATCAACACACTAAAAAACAAGACAGGAGATTTAAATACCTTACCACCCTTTATATACAAAAAAGCATCGCAAGTGCTGTCATCAATTATTGCAACACTCTTTAACAAATCCATTGAATCCTCTACCTTCCCTACAGTTCTCAAAATAGTGAGGGCCACGCCGATCTATAAAGGAGGAGACCAAACAGACTTGAATAACTATAGGCCAATATCCAACTTACACCCTCTCTCTTAAATCTTCGAAAAATTAATTCATAAGCGAATCTATTCGTACCTCATCTCCCACAACATACTCAACCCCTGTCAGTTTGGGTTCAGGCCTAATAAAAGTATGAATGATGCTATTATACACATGCTAGAACAAATATACACTGCACTTGAGAAAAAAGAAGTCCCACTG